AAACTTTCATATTTTATAAACATATAAACACATGAACACATGCCCAATTACATATGCTTACAAACATATTAAAAACATTTTATTTAAAATGATTCTGTAAAAACGTCCAAAATATTTCAAATTTTCGTAAGATAAGAATTTACAAACCGACGTGTATACATGCAATGGCAAAGTGAACCTCATATGTTTGTAAAACAACAACAAATACGATTTTCCGTGTTTACTTTCATAAAGAATAGGAGAACCTTTCCTGTTGGTTGCTACCGAGGTTGGAATATTCAGTAAAGAACGGGTCAGAGGTCCCAGATGTCATCTGGGTGGGACGACTCAGTGGACTACGACCCTAAGACTGACTTCATGTACTGGAGTACTCATGGAGGCATCGAACGTGCTCGTCGTGATGGAAGTAGGCAGGAGACCATTGTTAATGGTGGGTGATATTCATCAATCCATGTCTTGTTACTGACTATCGTTGTTCAGTATGTCTTACGTAATTCCACATGTACAATGTATACGCTTGTACTACAGGGGCATCATTGTAGACTAAAATTAGCAAGGGAAATCACTTCCTTTCTGTTTTGGTTCAGTTTAAAACATCCACCTTCAAGCTTAAAGTAAAATGTCACTATTTGTGAAATGTACAAAGTTTTCAACGCAATTTGAATAGAAATGTGTCCCCTCCATTTCATTCTTATTGACTGACTGCAGCACATGATTATATCTCCATCTGTTGTTAAATGTAGCAAGCGTGTTGGGCCTAAGATTGGACCATGCTGGTGGGAATGTGTACTGGAGTGACTATGACGGACACATCTCAGTAGCCCGGAAGGACGGATCGCTTGCCAGGACACTTCTGACATCACAAAATTTCGCCTGGCAGCTGGTCCTGGATCCCAGAAACGGGTAAATTCAGTTAAAACAAGCAGGGCTAAAAATGATTGCAGTGTGTTTGACATCATCTTTATTGGATTGACAAAACAATTAAACCAATACACAAGAAAAAGAGTTAAAAACACCTCGGTCGCCCCCTTTAGACAGATCAACATTGTAGCTAATCCTCCCGACTTTAAATCTTTTAAAGTTCACAAGCATATAGGAATGTTACTTATTTCCACCACGTCATGGAAAAATCAAACATCACACATGATCTCATGTATCTAAATAATAGTGTCCATTTTTAACAAATTGAAATTTAGACTACCACGTACTGTACTTGTTGTACGTCATCTTTTATCCGACCTCTTCTTGAATATGCTGACATTCTATGGCGTGGATGCACTTTATACGATTCTCAACGATTATATCGAGTCCGATATGAATGTGAACTTACAGTTTCACGGGCAGTCAGAGGGTCTTCATACTCCTCACTCCTTTTTGACTTAGGCTGGGAGAGACTCTCTGACCGTCGCCATGTTTTCACTGATTATGTTGTACAAAAGTACATGTAATCCATGGTCATAATCGTATCTGAGGGACCTGATTTGTCCCGAAGTTTCTTCTACGACTTCTTATGATCTACGTGATAGATCCAATCTACGGCTACCGTTTTGCCTCAAAACTAGGTATAAAAAAAGTCTTTCATTCCATATGCATTACATCATTGGAATGGTCTTGATGTAGCTGTTTGATCCCTTAATTTTTCATTTATAAGAAGCACTTAGTTAAGTCAGTATGCCCCCCCCCCTTACCCATATTATAGCCAAGGCCCCAGGTACATCTGCGCCCTCCTCATATATCACGCGTCTTCAATCAATCTATCAACCAATACACTTTATTTATACTGGAAAGATCGGGTAGATCATACCACCGCAATAACGAGACTACTCGATCTGGGCTGCCGTACGTCGTGTTTACTATGGATATGCGACTTCCTATCCGGCAGAAAACAACGCGTACTCTACCAGAACGCCTACTCTGAATGGATAGAACTCACATGCGGCCTACCACAAGGGACAGTATTGGCACCCATCATATTTATTGCCCTAATCAATAATGCCACAAAGGACTCGAGGGCAAACAACTAGAAATTCGTAGACGACCTCACGCTCGTAGAGAGCAGGCTCCTACGTAAACCCTCGCATCTACAAGGAGACCTGAATGGACTTGATCGTTGGACCACGGACAGCTCAATGAAACTGCACCCTGCCAAATGTAAGATAATGCACGTCTTCTTCACCAAAACCCCGCCTTTACTCCCACCACTCTACATCAACGGACATGCCCTACAGGTCGTTAGCGTTGCCAAGCTTTTGTGAGTGTGGGTACAAGCGGACCTGAAATGGGACTCACATGTTAACCCTACCTAGACCGGGGGGGG